GAATTATATCGAATCGTATCAAATCGTATCGTTGGCTGAATATCGTGATATATATCATATCGTGAGCTCAATATCGTGTATCGTATCGTATCGTGAGATTAGTGTATCGCTACAGCCCTAGCTCAGGGTGAGTTTGGCTGTGTTTCGCTGTCGCTAAACAAGGAAACCACACCTCCACGGAGCTCAGCGCGATTCACAACGTCCCGACCAATCAGAGCACACTGTGCTCTGAGGGAGGGTGGGGGCTGGAGCTATTGGAGCTACAACGAGCCGTTAAAGGCAGAGAGTGAAATTCAGTGAATACACGTAGTTTACAGAGATGCTGTATGAGAAACCAAAGTCATTTTGGAAAATTGCACAATATAAATCTATTCTAGTAGACCTCAACAATGGAATTATGATCAGTGGAAATGGCCATGACATGGGACCTTTAAATCACAAGTAGACAATGCTAAAGCTAATTGCGTTTGTTGGATTTGTTCTTTTCACTAGTGTGATGGAAGACATGTTATGGAAGACCTATCTTAAAAATATTTTATTTTGTGAAAGATCATGACCCAAATAAACTATAACTGAATGTGTATCTCTTATTGTTTTGACCCAGGTTGATATTTCGGCCTCAGGACATCATCCTGGCTCCAGATGCTAGTGGCAGCGTGAAAGAATTCTGCAGTCAGAACTGCCTGACCAGCTTCAACTTCAAGCAAGACGCCATCAAAAAATCATCTCAACCCAAATTAACCCCTTCACTCTGCAGCATGTGCAGCAGATACTGCATCGTAAGTCAAACACAACAGTGCTCATACTCAATATTATTTTAATTATCTATTGATATGTTGTTTATGTGCCTGATTAACATATGAATGTTTGGTCTATAAAAGGTCAAAAAGAGTGACGAATCAGCAATGTAGTGTCCCAAAGTTCAAGAACAAGTGTCTTGTTTTGTACATTTGTAAAGAATTCTGAAATGATTCATGTATTATCAAAATGGTTGCTGATGTGTGTGTGTTTGTGTCCAACCCCTGTTGCTGGTCAACATTTTACAAAAAACAGTTTGTAAGAAAAGAAAAGGTTGCTGATTTATTTTCTGCTTATATTAGCTTTAAAGTGCTTATATTAGCTTTAACATTAATTGAATGTTTAACATCAATATTATTATCTTTCCTTCCTTACATTACGATTATTTTCACAAATAATAATTAACCCAGATATAATCTTTATTTTAAAAGTAAGGTTATTATAAAAATTGTGCAACTTTTAGAGAGTAAATCAATCTTTGTTTGATTTAAAGCATTAAGCCTCAAAAGTCATCTGATATCTGATTATTGAACAATCTTGAAAAAATATTTCTAACAAATACAATTTTGAATCCTGCAATTTCAGCTTTAACCCTCTAACAGCCAGCGCCACCATTTGGTAGTGCACATATTGTGTCTTGATATCTTATTGAACAAGTTTAACTCCATCTGATTCGGCCATCTAAACCATTTGGTTGACATGTTATGCACAAAACAACCTCTAGATATCACTGTGGTTCGAACAGAATGCCCTTTAGCTAGCTTCCAATAGGCGCTTTCACACCGCAGTACTTTTCCCACAAAGGTTCATCAGAACTTAGTTCATGAGAACTCTTTAGTTCTCATGAACTAAGTACAGATCGCGTTCACACCGGAATAAGTCCCTGGGAAGGATTAGGCCAATGAAGCCGCTGACGTCACTTCTCCTTCTTCTGCTTTGGGCTTACTGGCAGGCCGCAAACAACTTCACGGCGTATACTGCCACGCGAAGTCTCCGGCCGGAAATCCCCAGAGTTGGGGACTGGCTTCAGTAGAAGCTGCTGGGACTCCCAGAAGCTTCTACTGAAGCCTTCCGAGTAAATCGCCAGAACGCCGACACCTCCTCATCTCCACCACTCCCATGTTTTCTATTGTGTTGCCATAAGTTAGTCTCTCTGCGTTTGTGCGCTGGGCTAATGCTAATAATGCTAATAATGCTAATGCGAGGATAATAAAATGGCGGCTTCACAAAACTTTTTGGGAGTTTTACGGGGCGTGGTTTGCATTCCGCCCAGCCCATCACAAATAGGAACCTTTTTCTCCCACGAAAGTCCCTGCTTTTCGGGACGGAAAAGAGGGTAAAAAGGTTCTCATGGACACATTTTTGTTCCTGATTTTTTTGGTGTGAACGCAACATTTCGGAACTATATCGGAACTAAAGTGGGAAAAGTGGGAAAGCGCCTACTGAGAAAGTTGGCATGCTAAAAATCACTCCTGAAGAAATCACTCTTTTTGGTCAACTTTTGTAAGGTAAGCATATCATTTGATATATTTTAGTGTCAGAGCACATGCTGAACAGAATTAGATAACTTAATGCACAAACAAAGTTTTAACAAGGGTGTAATTATATTTTTGAAAATATGCTCAACCAACCGGTCGAATTGGCTTTTTATTGTAAAACTAGCAATATGACTTTTTCAGAGTTTCAGAGATGTTTTCCAAATATGTTGAATAAATAGCTAGATTCATGGTAATATTACTAAATCTAGTACTGCCTTATGAGTCTCAGAGTGAAATAGTAATAATAATTTATATAGCCCCTTTCATGCATGAAATGCAGCCCAAAGTGCTTTACAAATGTAGCTAAACTTACAGTAAAGAGCTGAACTGAGCTCAACTTGTTGTATATCGTTTTTTTGTTTGATGTGCATTTATAGCTAAGGCCTTATAGAACAATATCTAACATTCAATAATGTTCCATCTTATTGTTTGTAATGACAGGGGTAAACGTATTATAATAGTACATGGTTTGTAATTGAGATTTTCTTTCCATTTTATAATTGATAGATGGACGCTAAACGCTTTTATGGAACAAAGCCCCGCAATCTTCTGGCTCTGATACCGGAGAATCCCCAAGAATCTGACGCAGAGAATCTCAGTGATGATGATAATGAAATAGATGATCCAGACGATCTGCCCACTCTCGAAGAAGTGTGTCCTTTTGTATCTGATGATGCGGAAGCCTCTACAAGCACATCTTCAGCACCACCTCCCCGGAAGAAGAGAAGAGGGAAAAACACCCTTAAAGTAATTTCCATGGAGGAGCTAGAGGAGATCCCTGGCCCACAAAAAGGCACTGAGAGAATCTGGAAGAAGGAAGACATTGAGCAATTCCAGGTTCCTGATTCAAGGTTTGAACCCCAAGATGAAGTAAAGACACCCTTTCAGTACTTCAAAACAATCTTCACTGACCAGATGATAGAACATATCACTCACCATACCAACCTCTACTCTGCCCAGGAGTTGGGAGACCCGATCAAGACGAGCTGTGAAGAAATAGAAGATTTCCTGGCAATACTACTCTTCATGGGTGTTTTCCACTTTCCAGCCATAGAAGACTACTGGCACGGAGCGTCACGTTTCAACTTGATTGCTGATATCATGTTGAGGAACAGATTTCAACAGTTACGCCGGTTTATTCATTTTAGTGATAATCAGCAGTTCAATGACAGCCCAGACCGATTCTTCAAAATCCGCCCACTCTTCGAGATGCTTCGTAAGCAGTGTCTCAAGATCCCTTCCACCTACAAGCAGAGTGTGGATGAGGTCATGGTGGCATGTAAGGGCACAAGGGCTGGCAATCTCCGCCAGTATATCGCCAACATGCCAGACAAGTGGGGCTTCAAACTGTTCTGCCGGGCCAGTTCCTCTGGGATTATTCATGACATGATGCTCTATCAAGGGGCGTCCACGTTTTTCAACGTTGCCCTAAGTGAGCAGGAGCAGAAGCTACTTCTAGGGGCCAAAGTAGTGACAACGCTGTGCAAAACCATAGAACTGCCACGGCTTTCAATCGTCTTCTGTGATGACTACTTCACCAGTTTCAACTTGATCCAGAACCTGCACTCAGGACTGGGTATCAAGTGTATCGGCACTGTCCGACAAAACCGCAACGGTAGAGCTCCCTTGATGACAGACAAAGAGCTGATGAAGAAAGGGCGTGGAGCTTTTGATTACAGATCTTCTGAAGGGGTCGTCGCAATCAAATGGTTTGACAACAAATGCGTCAACCTTCTAAGCAATGCCTGTGGGGTCGAGCCTGTTTCGACTGTCAAGCGGTGGAGCCAAGAGGCCAAGGCAAAGATTCCCATCCCATGCCCCTCACTCATTCCTGCCTATAATGAGCATATGGGCGGGATTGATCTTTCCGACATGTTGGTCCACCTGTACAAGACCCCAGCCAAGGCAAGGCGATGGTACTTTCCACTGTTCGGATACATGCTTGACCTATCTGTCTCAAATTCCTGGCTGGTCTACAAGAGGGACTGTGGCCTGCTGAACAAGAAACCCATGCCTCTCAAAAGGTTTCGCCTGGAGGTCGCCCACAGTTTGAAGCAAGTCAATAAGCCAGCCAAAGTCGGAAGACCCCCCTCCTCCTCACCACCACCCATGTCTCAAAATAAATACTACACCCAGACAGCTCAACAACCACCACCAGATGTGCGCTATGACAACTGTGGACATTGGCCACTTCACAGCGAGATGCGGGGCCGGTGCAAGGTCTGTCCAAAGGGAGTGTCCAGATGGAAATGTGGGAAATGCATGGTTTTTCTGTGCTTGAACGCTAGCCAGCAATGCTTTGTAGTCTACCACAGAAAATGGTAATGAATCTAATGCCCCAAAAATATAATTTGTGCTGTTGCACACAGATGAGCAAGTTAGGCCAACACAGGATATATACATTTGCTGTTAGGCCAGTTGTTTGTTGTTAGGCCAATTCAGCATATACAGTAAGATGAGCAAGTCTTTTTTTATTATGAAGAACACTTTTTCCATGATTCTAATATATTTGTATGAATATATCTGGTTGTATGTATTGCTCATCTTCCATAAAAGAAAAAAATGTATTTGAGTTTGTTTTATTTGAGTTTGATGCATACAAATACTGAAATGTATATGATGCACTTTTACCATAGAAGGCCAGCTCGACCAGTTGGTAGAGGCTCATAAAAATAAAACTGTGTGGTCAATAAAAATAATTAAAAATTGTTTGTGGTTATTTGTGTCCCATTTGATAAAGATATCCAAAGAAATAATTTTTCGATAGCTTTTTTCTTGGTCTGGCAAAAAAAGCCAGCGTTTTCTGTTTTGTTATAAATCAATAAAGAAATCCTGGAATTTCAGTATTAAATACAAAAAAAATGTGGCATCTTCAGTTTTAAATTAGATTGGAAAAAACCTGCATTGTTTAATGTTACACAAGTAGTACAGAGAACTGCTGACCCTGTAACCTACACTTTCTGTAGTGACAGGATTATTTTCTGAAATAACATCCACTGTTCTTTCTCCTCCCTCCTGCAGAGCAAACATGAAGTGATCCTGAGCGGTGCTGTCCACAAGCTCTGCAGCGATGCCTGCTTCAACCGTTTCCGGAAAGTCAACAAACTTTCCATGGCTGGCTGCGAAAACTGCGGCTCCTACTGCCTCAAGAAATCGCTCATGCTGAAGCTGAAGGACAGCCACAAAACTTTGTGCAATGCAGAGTGTCTGGCCAAGTACAAAGAGGTATGAATATGACATTCAGGGTCAGACTGGTGCAGAATATGGCAAGGAGGTCATAAGACTGAATATTCAACAATGTATTGCTAATCATTTGTGGTGTCAAATGGTAAAAAAGTTGATGTGTAAATATGTGAGAAGGGATTTAAACAGTTTACTTAATCACGCTACAGCTTGCTTACCGTACTAAGGCTACATACATTAACTAAGTGAAACATTTACTACTTTTATTTATCAGATTTTATAGTTATAAACAAATGTGGTTCTTTCACTACTTGCAAGAGGTGAATTCCAGCACAACAACACATTTAAACATTACAGCATGGCTAAAGTGTGCCAAATATATAGATACTCTCTAAACAATAGAGCACACTTACTTACCCAACTATATGAGAACAACACCCGGGGCTCCATGTTTTTCTTGAATTCTTGTTACCGTCAATAGTGAATTGCTGAAAGTAATGCTGGCTTCATTAAAAGATTTTTATATGTTTTTCTGTATCATAGAATATTATGCAATAACCTTCATTAGAAGAGTCACTGGACAAAACAAGACAGTCTGTGCTTATGTTTAGTATGATCTACAGATGGTCTGATCCGTACAGTTTGAGCATCAAAGTTGTGGCCTGGACGCACAGATTTAAACATGTACTTAACACAAAGCAAAAGATTGTTAAAAGTCCTCAAATGTCTGTCTTGTCATTTCATAACAGAACACTAAGACCAACCAGCCCTGCGTGATGTGTAACACTACCCGGCTGATGGGAGAAATGATTCACAACAAGAACAGTGACAACTCAGTGAGCCTGTACTGCAGCAGCAGCTGTGTGATGGCTTTCAAGGTCCAGTCCGTCAGTGCATCAGGTACAAGAAGTTTACAAGACAGATTTACTACCTCGCTCTTGGCTGCTTTGATGTTTTAAAATATTTGTAATACTCTTTCCTTCTCTTTTTTTGTAGGTGCTCGGGTGAGTTGTGATAATTGTGGGAAAAACACAGTCCCCGCCTACCACCTGGCCATGTCAGATACCTCCATCAGGAACTTCTGCACTCTGCCTTGTGTCATGGCTTTTCAGGTAATGAGGTTTACTTATTAAATCACACTCTTGATTATTGTTTACATAGTAAATACAAATTTAGAGCAGGGCAATATATCAATATTGTATCTATTGTGATAATTAGACACATAAGGTAAGATATCGTCTTGGAAGGTTATTTTCCGGGTTTTCAAGGCTGTATAACAGCAAAGAGATGTCATCTTCTGAATGTTCCTGTTCTTGCGGTTCAAATGTTTGCATATACGCAATTAGCCAATATATCCACACAACTAATGGTTATTATCACTACATACAATTCTTATCCTTTGTTGAAAATGTGTAGTTAGCTGTTTTGCTCATTCCTTACTCTGCCTAGAAACTCTACATGAAGGAATTTTCACTCTTGTTTATTGTTTTCTGTGCCATAGGAAAGGTTCAAGAAGTCCCAGACACAGGTGAATATTTTTACCAAGTTGCCCGTCGGATCACCCCAAATCCAGATCACCTCCGCCCAAAATCAGCAAGAAATCCCCAAAGCACCACTGAAACTGAACTGCTTCCAGTGTGCCCGCAACATACAATCTCTACCTGAAGTCATCCAGATCAAGGTAACAAGGTTTTTTGTCAAGGACCACATTTCTCCACTTTGAAGGTTGGATGAATCTCATCACACCGCAGAAGCTGGCGGTAAACAGGAAATGCAACATGTTAGTGAGAAGGTGTAACAGTATTAATCATGGACAAATCCCACAACTGTAGATTTAATTGAATTCCAAGTATGTTGTTTTCTTGTAAATAGGCCCAATCCCTCTTGGGATTTTGGACTAAAGTATTTCCTTTTTGCTAAAACCGATCATTTGAACAGGTCTTACACTGCCTGTAAAATACACAGAAAGTGTGGTGTTGTATGGTTTATCCAACATTGCAATCTTTTCATCATAATCCTGAAGAATTTGAAAAAAGTTAATTTTTTTATCTTATCCTTGAGAGTTGAGAACTTGATGTACATACTGACATGCCTAATGTTAATACCTCTGTGTGTGCAGGACCAAATGGCTTTCGTGTGCAGCATTGATTGTGCTCACGAGTTCAAGAAAGACAACAACGTGACGAGCCTGTGTGAATACTGTAAGATCGAAAAGATCACCAGAGACGCTAAGAGGATAGACAACAGAGACTGCTACTTCTGCAGCGACGGTAACCAGACAGATGGAAATATGTATACTAAAAATTGCAATAACTGTCTGAAACGATATTTTTACATACTAAGATTAAACTCTAGAATTGTAAACAGTTGCACCAGACATAGCAACAATATGGAATATTTCAGGAAACTTAAACTGGGGAGAAGCTTTTTTTATATATATGTATATGACCATGTTTTTTTACATTCTACAGTCAAAAATATTATAATAGTATTTGGCTAATTTAATTTCCTGATGACAATAAAAAACACATTCAAAGAATATAATTATGTACAAGTTGTGTTGTATATGTTTAAAGAACACACTTGATGTGATAAAGCCTCCCTTCTCCTTCCTCCCAGGATGTAAGCTCCTCTTCAGACACGACCAGACTAAAAGCTGGGGGAAGCACTGTAACTCCTGCGCCTACTGCTACAGTGTGTCCAAGGAGCTGGTGACGGCTCAGTACGGAGGCTCCACCGAGGAGTTCTGCTCTGACGAGTGCCGCTCCAAATACACCATGCTCTTCTGCCACGTAAGCAATGCAGCTTTTAAAATCATAGGTGGAAGGAAAAAAAATGGATCTAAATGTTTATTCACTGTTTCTCTCTCAGGTTGCAAAATGTGACACCTGCGGCCGCAAAGGGAAACTGAAGCAGAGTCTTCCCATGCTGGGAGAGGTCAAACACTTCTGTGATCTGATCTGTCAGCTGCAGTTCTGCTGCGATAAAGTGGCCATGCAGGGAGAAATCGTCAAAGGTATGGAATTATTTTTGCCGCTCCATTTATTTTCCTCTAATTATTTTTTTAAACATACAGTATTGTCCCCTCATTTGAAAACAAATATTGATCTGATGTCCTTAGAGGAAAAAATGCCCACGTAAAAAAAAAAAAGGTTAAAGTAATTATTACATCAATTATTCCTGACACAATTAAATATTTTATTCTTTTTTATTTTAATTGAATAATGATGAATTGTAATAATTTTCTGTGTACTAAATCCTATGTCGCAGTCTGTCAATGTTTAGTAACATTGATGGTTCTGCATTTAAATGTTTTAATTGGGCAACCAAAACATTTGAATCTATTTGGCGCCCATTATAAACTAGTTTCAGCTGGTGGAAAATAGTCAAAACTACAACTTTGAAACCATATTCTAGATTTAAAACCTGTTAAAATTAAATGTGTGTTTTTATGCTGTTTTGGCTGTCAAAAATAGTAGTTTTAGTAGGTTTAATTTGTCAATTTTTTGTTCTGTATCTGTATTTTGGCTACACAATAACAATACTTTTTATAGGATTGGAATTTGATTTTTTTTTAATAAAAGCATGCGCAAATCAATAAAAATGTTACGAATTCTATTGGCTATATATCCCACTGACTCCCTTTTGTGTTTTCTGGTGTTTTCCTACTTCAGGTACAGCGGAGGCCACACCCATCATCGCCAGCGTCATCTCACTTGCAGGACCTCCAACAGAGGAATCAAACGCTTCCAACCGAACTGTCCAGACAAATACACAACACACAAACACAGGTACCTTAATTTTCGGACTATAAGCCGCGCCTTTTTCCCCATTTTTCGACGCTGCGGTTTATATAACGGTGCGGCTAATCTATGGAATTTTACAGCTAACGGCCACTAGGGGACCTCCTAAATCTATGGATTTTACAGGTTACAGTCCACCACCTTTAACTCTATGGGCTCTATGGCCGCTCCGCGCCCCCCACCTTTAAGCGGCGGGTTCCAGCAGGAAAAGCTGGAGGCCGGAAAAGAGTGAGACAGGTAGCGCGCAAAAGTAAAAGTGGAACCGAGAGTGGTACGAGAGACAGAACGAGAGCAAGACAGACAGACATTACGAGAGCGAGACAGTTTGTCCCCGTACCACTGGTTGAAAACCACTGCTGTAGATAACTGCCGGTACGTGCGCTGGGAGCGCACCGTTTAAGTTTGAAAGTTGAAAAGTTTGTGTGTCTGAAACGCTATGTGATACAGTACAGTTTACACAGCACATGTTCTGTAGCTACTATTGCACTAAATGGTAACACTTGAATACGTTATGCAAATATGCAACTTGTTTGTTGAAATGTTAATAAATGGGAGCTTCCTCAAACAGCCATCTCTTTCCCACGAACCCTTACATATGGTAATTAAACATTAAAACACCTGTGGCTTATAGTCCAGTGCGGCTTATATATGTACACATCATTCAATTTGGCTGCTGCGGCTTATATTCAGGTGCGCCTTATAGTCCGAAAATTACGGTATTTATGAACTATATTCAAACCTATAAGAAAGAAACATGCTGTTTCCTCATTCGATTATTTTCCAGTGTTGAATGTGATGGTTTCTTACTCTGTCATTGTCTCAACAGGCACATCCTGTCATCCCAAGAGCTTTGGAAATGTAAGTTGTTGTATCTTATATGTATTTTGAAGTGTTTTTATTCTGGAGTTGTTACTATTTATGTACTTCCTCCTTCAGGTTAGTGTTCAGACGGATACAGTGAACGTTCCTTCTCCTTCCCGCCCAAAAATCCTGAAGAACAAGGCCGTGCTCTGCAGACCGCTGGTGCAGAACAAAGCGATTTCCTGTAAGACGCAGACAGTCGATGTTGAAGCACAAACGGGTAACTACCAAACGTTGTTCCTATTGTAACAACATCTCTTATCCATAGTCAAACAAATAGACTATACACCAATGTCATTGCTGGTTTTTGTATGTAATGTTTGATAATCATGTCTGAATACGTAATAACGGTAGCAGACCTTGAGTTGGAAAATTCGAAGTTGTTTATGAATGTTTTCTACAAATGCTTTAAGTCTCTGCAAGCATATACTTTATTAAAAATCAGTATTTTAATAAGAATAAAATCTTAATTAGAGACTGTTCTCCTGCAGAAGGCGCCAACTGGTAAATCTAAAACTTAAAAAAACATATTATCCATTTCGATGTTCTGTTTGTGTATTGGTTTGTACATCTTTGTCTTTACATACCCCTGCAAATATTAAGCAGTGTTGTTTTGTACTTAATAGCCTACAATAAAATCCTTACTGAACAAACAAAAAACAGAGATCATTGTTTTTGGAGCAAAGAAGGACCGATTAAAAGTAATCAGAGCTTCAGTCAGCAGACTACAAAACCACTAATAAAACCAGAAATGTAGGTTTAGTGATGGACTCAGACCTGAATTTCAACAGCCACATTACAACAGTCATTAGGTCTGCTTATTATCACCTGAAGAATATATCGAGGATTAAAAAACTAATGTCACAACAGGACTTAGAAAAGCTTGTCCATGCTTTTATTTTCAGTAGTCTCGACTACTGCAATAGTGTATTCACAGGGCTCACAAAAATCCATCAGAAAGCTGCAGCTGATCCAGAACGCTGCTGCACGTGTCCTCACTAACACTAAAAGAGTGGATCACATCAGTCCGGTTCCGAAATCTCTACATTGGCTTCCAGTCGGCCAAAGAATTGATTTTAAAGTACTATTGCTAGTTTTTAAATCATTACATGGTTTAGGACCAAAGTATATTGTTGATCTCCTACATAATTATGAGCCATCAAGGTGCCTCAGGTCTTCTGGGACGGGTCTGCTATCGGTTCCGAGAGTAACAACAAAACATGTAGAGGCAGCATTTAGCTGTTATGCCCCGACACTCTGGAACAAACTACCCAAATCATGCAGGTCCGCAGAAACGCTTACTATTTTTAAATCGAGACTAAAAACATATCTCTTTGCCGCTGCTTTTAATTGAGATGATCATATTCGAACTACAGTATGCCTTTTAAACATGTATTATATACCTGTAGTGTTTATTTTTATTATTTTATTATCTTTGCTTTGTAATGCCTGTTTGTAAAATGCCATTTATATAATGTGTTTCTACTGTATAAAAAGTATTTTAATTTGTTTTGTAAAGCACTTTGAATTTTTGCGTACAGAAAAGTGCTATATAAATAAACTTGCCTTGCCTTGTTTCCTGATTAGCACAACTTTTGAAGGCGCTGGCCCGAAACTTCTTTATTGACCTATCCCTTCTAATTTTGATTTTTTTTTACAACTTGTCTTTATTTCCCCCCTCTCTACAGATGACATCTTTCCTAAAATCCTGATCGTTCCCGTCCCAGTGCCGGTGTATATTCCTGTACCCATGAATATGTACAGCCAGTTTACCCCCCAACCTATGGGGCTGCCATTTCCAGTATGTCGAATTCATTTAAAAATAATTATTAAAAAGTAGGTGTATGCCGTCCTCCTTACTTACAGCCCCTCACACTCTGTTACTTCCTTCCTGCCTACCCTAGGTGCCGGTACCCATGTTCCTGCCTGTGACAATGGACAGCGCTGAACGCATCTTAGAAACCATCCAGGAGATAAAGCAAAAGATCCCGTCCGACCCCTTCGAGGCAGAGCTCATCCTCATGGCCGAGATGGTGGCAGAACAACATGAGAACAGCAACAAGGAGGAGAGACCAAAGGAGAAGGTGGCGGGAAAAGACAGACAACAAGTAACTGCTCCAGATGGTAAGAGAGAACATTTTGAGGTTTTAGTTTAGTAGAAAACATGAAAAGAAAGAATGGCATTAGGGAACCCGGATAATCAATGTAGACAAGGGTAAAGTCACTTTTTAGACATTGAATAATATATCATATGAATTAGAGTTACATCTTTTTTATGTATATAACATCTTAATCTACAGAATAACTACAGCTTCAAGATCAAATGTAGTGGGGTAAAAACTTGGGGGTTAATACTCTGGGCCCAGGAGTTCAACACTTTTAATCCCTATCTGATTAGATCAGATTTGGATTTTGGGTAGTTCAAAACCAAAAAACCGGATTAGGATCACTTTGATATCAGATCAGGAAATCCAATCCAAGCTTTAATCTGGATCAAATCTTCAAAACGGGTAGTTCAAACCGACAACACAGGATTGGGATCAGTTTGATCCCAAAAAACTGGATTATCCTGATCCCACCAGAGGGGTGGATTACCAGAGCAAAATGTACTGTACAATTTATTTTAAAATATATTTCAATTTAAATAAGATGGCAAAGTTTGTTGACTGAAATACACAATTTTTAGCCTTCATGGGAAAGACATTTTATTTTACATTTTTGCTCACGTTTGTGGTGGCCTATTTTATTTTCAACCAAATTTTGATGACATAAATGTTTATGCTCATAAAAGTATCACAAAAAAGATTGTCAATCACAAATGTAATTTAGTAAAAATATCTTCAACAAAAAAAAAGTCCATCTGTCATCACCTTTCAAATTTAAAAATATAATTAGACATTATAGATGTCTCTGCAATGTGGTCTCTTGTCTTCCTTGTATTATTTTTCATATCCACTAGATGGCGATCGGTAGGATTAAAGCACTGATATTCAGGATCTAGTAATCTTGAAAAGTCGTAATCTGGATCAGGTTGATCCTATCCTGAATTGCTTTGAACTCCAGGGACAAAATCTGGCCGACTTGTCTGATCCTGGATCACAAAAAATGGGATTTCAAAATCTGATCGGATCTGATTGAGATTAAAAGTTTTGAACTCCTGGGCCCTGGAGATGTCTAAAAATACTTTAGCAGGAGCACAAGAGCAAAAGACACTTTTGTTACGCTGCTATGGACAATCTGCAATAAATGCACATTTTATGGACAATCTTGCACCAAAGATATTGATATTGAAGTGACTGTTATTTTGTATATATTGATTGTTGTGGCTTTTTTTTATCTTAATGTGTGCATATGTGTAAATGTGTCGGTTGATTGTGTATATAGGATATATATATTGTGTACATATTTTTAAACATAACTATAATTTTACATTCGGGATTGTTGGAAACGTCATTTCGATCTCTTTGACTCGACTTTTGATTTAAAAAAAAACAGTAAACTGGCAATTTTTCAGGATATTATTCCAGTGTATGGAAAAGGAAAGAATTGCGTGACTCTCAAAGATAATGACATTCGAGATAAATGTGTATCCATTACCTGTCGCATCAAATTGTTTCCCTTTTTTAGTTTGATAAATATCATTTATATATAAATATTACGTGTCACACTATATGAAGAGTTCCTCATGTTTATTTCACAGATCACAACAGTAACTACAGTGATGACTTAGACACCGAAGACTTGGCAAGTTTTCTCAATAACTGGGAGGAAGCCTCCTCTGATCCAGCCGTCAGGTCTCCCAGTCGGCCGCACGCTCACGAGAAGCTCAACCCCGTTATAGGCATTCCCCTGGGCCTGACTAATGAGCCTTTCCCCAAGCCCAAGCCTGCCATGGACATCGAAGCAGACTTCACTGTCGGTGAGGTTTGCACATTTATGGCATGCAACAACATTTGAATTTGATCTCCCCTTGTCCTGTGTTTAAAAAGCGTAGTTGAAGTGCTCGGGAAAACACATCGTTTGGTGGGCATGTCTAATGTTTAATTTGGTTTTATTCCCAGAAACGTTGGAGAAAATGGCCCGTTTAAGAGACGAGTCCAGGCGCACCCCGAGCCCTCCGCCTGCTACTCCAAGGCGACGACAAGCTCACAGGAAAGCCAGAGAAAAAAAGGTAGGTGCCTGGGGAAACAGAAAGGAGGCTGCTTTTGCATTTAAGACAAGATGGGATTGTACTTAAATGTGTAGTTAGACACTGGGAATACCTACTATATGGCTTGTTGTCTCACCCTCATTGTATTTATGAGTCGACCTCTTCTATGTCTCCACTTTGTCTAAGGGTCGTAAGCCAAAGCGCTCATCTAAGACAGCTGAAGTGTCGACTCAAAAGGCCGAAGCAGTAGAGTTCCCTAAACTGCAGAGTGAATATGGAGTTGAAGCCTGGAAGCGATGGATCCAGAAGAGGCCAACTCAGCCCAACATGGAGAAACCACGCTTTGGTTGTAAGTCTGGAAGTAAAGTAAATACAACCACTAAAGCCGAGACTGATAGTTATTTTACTTGACCTGATTATGCACTAGCGTTTCCATCGAGTGGACAATATTATTTTGGAACACTCAAATGCCAAGAGGGAAAATCCAATTGACTGAGCCACAACAACAAAAAACCTTGATGGTTGTTGTCTGTGAGAATTTCAAAAATAATCTGCTAGTTTTTTGACATGCAGAAAATTATTTTTTTAATTCTCCTAAATATAAGGATTTCCTGCTTTTTGCTGTTTTATTAGCTTTTTTTCTTCTGACTGACCAAATGTCTTAAAAGTAATTTAAAGACACCTTTGAATTTGAGAATCTGTGATGGACATCTTCCACTTTTTTCTAGCATTTTATAGACCAAGCGATTAATTGTCAAACTAGTGCTAAATACATTAAAATAATTGTCCGTTACTGAGCTAAATCACAGGACATAACATTTGTAATCTTGATTAACTATCCATTTATTGTTTGGATGTTTTTGTTCAATAACTTGAAGTTAAACACATTTTCGAGGCCTCAAGTCATTAACAGCTATTTGAAAGCCTTTGATTTAAAGCCCCTCTCTTTGATGCCACATATTTCAAGTTTTGATTTCAGGTGATTGGTGATGGTTTTCACTGTGACATACTCTCTTATATACAATCTTTTTGCCCATGTTTTTTCGGTAATATCTTTTTAAACTTTGTTCATTGTTGACTGCTTATATCTTGATTTCAGCTCGCCCCATAGAGTTGAAGGAGGATGTTCTCAGCTGCACCACGGCTGAGCTGAGCTACGGTCTTTGTTCTTTCATCAGTGAGGTGAAACGACCCAATGGAGAGTCGTACTCCGGCGACAGCCTCTTCTACCTCTGCCTCGGCATTCAGCAGGCAAGTCATAGGACACTCATGGAAAAAGTTTGACCAAGCAGCTCAGAATGTGTCTAGTTGATGAGGGTTTATTACGCACATTTTTTTGTAATGGTAACAAAGCTTAAATCATTTCCTTCTTCACAATAAAAGCACTTGTGTTCCAGATCTGATTTCATTCTTGTAGCTTTTTAATCTAATAATGAAACTAAATAAAATCACAAAAAGTCAAGAAAGGTAATATGCGTACATATATTCTCCTCATTCAATGAAATGATATTGACGCTTGCTTGACTATTGTCATTGTGCTCATTGTGACCCTGGAACCGTTCCCCTCTCCTCAGCATCTGTTTACAAACGGTCGTGTGGAGAACATCTTCATGGATCGGTTCTACAACAAGTTCGCCACAGAGTTCACTACTAATCTTAGACATTTTAAACCTTCAATCACAGCAAGTGGTGAGTTATTCATGTTCTTGCAATTTCTGTCAATATTTCCGTTTTTCCTGGTTTGACACAAACACTTGATCAGACTTCTAACCGCTCTCCTCCCTCTCTGCAGGTTATGTCCATTCCCGTGTGGAGGAGGAGTTTCTCTGGGAATGTAAACAGCTGGGGGCGTACTCCCCCATCGTCCTCCTCAACACTCTGCTCTTCTTCTGCTGCAAGTACTTTGGCTTCACTACGGTGGAGCAGCACCGCCAGCTGTCCTTCGCCCACGTCATGCGCTGCACCAAAACCAACCATGACAACAGCAAGAACACCTTCCTGCGCTTCTACCCCCCAATATCCATAAACGAGGCAGAGCCAGGTACCAGAATGGCCTAGGGTTAAAATAAATACCTGTCTGTTCCATTCCACTATGTATTTAAAACACATTTAAAAACACCTCAAAAGTCTTTCTAAATCTTAACTTAACTATCACAAATTTGGTGATTTAAGAAGTCTTTGAGAAAGTCAAGCAATTATTTTGCAGTCAAATACTGCTCTGTATAATTAGTCTTTTTTTTTACAGAGTTTTTCATCCTGTAAACATTTAAAAAAAACACTGCAGACAGTATTATCTGTTGTAAAAATACCTGGGGCGTTTTATTTCAAAAGTTAATCTGTGTCTATTGTTAGTTTAGTTATGTAGTGCAAGTTGAATGGCTGTAGATTCACATAACTGTAAACATCTTACTGTTATTCTAAATGTATTTATTAATAGTATTTTTAACCAGCAGGTACATGTTAAATCCAACTTTGGATGTATAAATATTGAAAAAGTTTGAACTGTGTTTGTGTCCTCTAAAGATCCAGAGGTTCCAGCTAAGAGGCGTAAGGAGGAGGAGAGTAAAGAGGATATCCTGGAGATGATGGAGAACACAGAGAACCCTCTCCGCTGTCCGGTCAGACTTTACGAGTTTTACCTCTCCAAGTGGTGGGTATATTCCATTACCAAACTACTTACAGCAGCCTGTTTCAATTATAAAATGGGCACCTGCCTATTGTTTATATAGGAACTTGAAAAAAGGGAAAAAATGCTGATCACCATGTTGATATGATTTACAATTGTCTTCCATCCAGCTCGGAGTCGGTCAAACAGCGCACCAACCTGTTCTTCCTTCAGCCTGAGCGCTGCTGCGTCCCCAACAGCCCCCTATGGTTCTCCTCCAGCCCTCTGGACGACAGCACAAAGGAAAACATGCTCATTCGCATCCTCACTGTCAGAGAGCTGCATGTCAGGAGGAAGAAAGATGGAGGGATAAAGCAGAAGAAATCCGATGATCTACCATTCATACCTGGCGAGGAAGAAGAGGGAGATTCAGAGTGAAAGTGATGCGGGAAGATACCTTTTTATTGGTGTATCAACTTGTCGTGTAGATATTATAAATAAAGAGATTAGATCATTTGAATATGACCTAATAAACAGAAACGGACAGAATAATCCCTATGGAGCATGAGTACCATTTTCAGAACTGCAATTAAAGTGATATTCCTTGTTTTGGAACTGAGATGGAAGACTCAACTAAGAATTCGGACCATCAACTACTTGCTCAATTGGACACAAAGCTATACTGCATTTTATCTGCTAGATGGTAGATTCCCAATTTTGGTTTAGGTTATCAGTGAGTAAATGTCCAGAAGACAAACAGCTAACTGTGATGCAGATTTAAATTGGCGACCAACATTTATAGTAATTCATAATGTAAATACTACCAAAATGTGCCGTGATTGTGCATTCTTCCATATCTGCTGGTTTAAATGATTCAACAGGCTTCTCCAATTTGCCCTTGGTAAAATGTTAGAAACTGAACTTCAACAAAAGAAAATAAGTTTCAATGAAAGATTCAAATAGTTTTTTACATTTCGTTTTGCCTCACTCGCAGACAAATGAACCGATTTTAGGAATTCATTTGTGTATTTGAAAAAAAAGATTAAAAGCAATGTATCATGTTTGAAAAGACTTTCACACCATTGGAACATTTCACTAAGTTACCTTTTGTTGACTGAATGCATTGAAGTGAGTTTTGATGACTGCATTTTGGACATAGGGCCTACTGTTTTCAGTCAACTGTCCTCTCATATGATTTATTGCATTACCTTGACTCTCTGGCGTTATAAAAAAAATACTGTTCTGTCATGTATATCTTGGTTACATTAACCCCCATTCCAGTATGGCTGCCGATGTTCTTGACATTTTCTATTCTATGTTTTTTTTGAATAAAATCCTTTCAAATGTAGTTGTTTTATGTGAAAACAGCTACCGGGTGGAAGTTGTTGAATTGTTGTATGCGTTTCCTAATGTTTGTTTTCTTCAATGTAGGAACAGTAAATGCTACAACATGTTTTGTTTCCTTGGGTCCTCATAAACCACACACGCCGGTAATGTATTGTGTTTGTATGTCCTCACGGTAGTGGATACATCCACGTCCGCTCATTGGCTGCTTTTAGAGTCATCCTGTGACGTTACAGTCAGTGATTGGTTGGAGTCGCTGCTGCTCGCCGTATATGTCGTCGCTTCATCGTCACGTGGTCTCGGGAAAAAGACGACAGAGGAAAGATGGCTGCCACTGTGTTAGATATACCTTTAGCCCTTCTTGCTTTTACTGTGGGATATTGAAAGAAAGGTAAACGTGTTTAAAAATATATTTACTGAAACTACACCTATTGGGGTCAAAATCAGTGGGCAATGTGTTGGAAAACCAATACTGGCATACTCTCCACTTGCTAGTTAGTGTTAGCATGCTAGCAAGACATGTGCAAGGTATAAAACAAACCAGTCAGATCCAACTTTGTACATTTAAACAAAACTGGTTTAATAAAATGCAATTATACAGAAATGTGTACACTTTGCCGGGTAGCCAGTATATTTTCTTTGGTCATAGTTGAATAATATGTTTCTAGCTTTTTATCTACACATGTAAGTAAATATTTGAAGTGACTTTACAGACTGCCTTATGTTTTTTTATTTATTTGATTCACAGGAAATGGTAATATTACACTCCTAAACTGACAATAGAATGGTTACTGTCATGTTCAAGTTTCCAAAATCACCATTTATCTCTACCTATATGATTATGTACACAAACAAGGAATTTGACTCCTTATGAATTGCTCTTAATGTACACACGCAGAAATAGAATCATATCTTAACAATGTGAAACAATGGTTAACAAGATTAACATAAAGTGTTGTATTGGTAGAACAGTAAATGGTTTAAGTAATAATTTGCTAAAACCAATTTTTTTCCTACTATATATTTATGGAAAACAGTAGGCTCAGATCTCATATAATCCCTAACCTAATATCTTTATATTGGGACATTTTCCTAGCTGTCATGGAGAAGCAAAGACGCCAACTGACCCCAGAGCAAGATGCCCTGGAGTACATAGTTGCCTGTAGAGACAAACCCTTCCTGGAGGAAAAGTTTATCAACTCCTTTAAAGGTAAGAGGTACAATTCTGATAGCAGTCACTCCTTTTTTGACGGACCCAAAGCCTCCTGGTGTGTTAGAAGGAGTTTAAATGACATAAGTCCTTTGAGGAAAGATGTGAAAAATCTAAACATTGGTGCATTATAATTGAGGTTTTTATAAATTCACTAGGAGTGAAACACCACAGGTCATCACAGACTATTTTTCACTTAAATATGTCCACACTTGTAATTGTTAGTATGGTACATTTGTTCTTTAGGATTTAAAGTAAGACGTCCTGGGTACATTTACGATAACCCAGTTTAGAGTTATACATGGCAGACAAAGTTAAAAGTTCCACAAGATGTATATAAAAGGCATTCATTCCTTTTTCCAAATGTAATTTGGGTGTCATGTCAGGAGAAGTGTTGTCTCATTGTGAAAATATATTTGATAAAATACAACAATGATTGTGGTCATCCAAATTCATCATTACTAGACTAATGCTTTCATGTTAATCTATGCTTCATAGGGAAAGGAGTGTTTACCAGCAGAGCCATTGAACCATCCGCGTTTGTGGTTGAATATCGGGGGGAAATCTTCTCTCCAAAATACACAACGCGTAAGAAGAAATGTGGCGATAATCTGAACAAATATTTCTTTGAGTTTTCATGGAAAGGAGCACAGTGGTGGTAAGTTACGTCAGAAAGAGACACGGTTAACTTATCTAAAGTGTTTTTTTAAGAAAACAACATGGTTAAGCGCAGTCATTTCAAATGTTCTTGTTTCATTAGAACGTTTTTTTTTGCAGCGTTGATGCCTCAAAGGATGACGGGACCCTTGGACGGCTTGTGAATGACGATCACATAAGTCCCAACTGTGAAATTAAGAACATTTTCTCTGAGGGAAAACCACACTTGTGCCTGTTTGCTGTAACAGAAATATCTCCAGGTGAGGAGATAACTTACGACTATGGGGACTCGTCTTACCCATGGCGATCAATGGTAAGTTTGTATTACAGAACAAGCATGACTTTTGATCTTTGTATGAGAATTACAGACATATTCAAACTAGTTCAGTCTAACAGTCTTGCAATCAATCCTCCTTCCTTTAAGGTTGTATAACGTCAATATTTTGTTGAAAACGTTTATGAGAAGAGTCTACTCTGATTGACATAAATGGAATAGACAAATATTAAACACAATTGAAAGTATAATTTCCCAAATCGAACTTACTGCAACTCACTGCGGGAATGCAATTACAGTCATACAAATCACTACCATTGATTTTGGTTTCAAACTGCTTTAATAAAACAACAAGTACACAAATAGTTTAAAGGTTGTATATGATCTAATACCAGCAACTGGTTGTAATGCTAATGTTTCGTTCTTTAGTGGAACTATCATCATTTAACAATGTATTTTATACACACTTCAGCTCTTCTTAAATTGGGACATCTGCTCATACAGACATACAGTTTGTCTTGATTAACAAAAAGGTATGCCGTTAATTATTTTAGACCAATATGAAAATAAAATGGTCAATGTGACAAATAGTACGCATTTGAAGATAAGAATTACTATAATGACAAAAAACATATAAATAATGCATAAAATAATTTATCAAATATTTAAAAGCTTTATTTTCTGATAATTCAATTTATTTATGTGCTCAGTTGCAACTACGGTCATTATTTGGCTTAAAGGCTACACTGATATTATTATTATTATTATTATTACACTCTATGAAGATATAGATTCCAGTTGTGACTATGTATGATTGTCGAAATCTTGTATGATCCAAACATTTCCAGTAACTCCAGTAAAGTCCCAAAGTAAAAGTTTATTAAACGTGTCCTATCATGCAAAATGCACTTTTTGATGATTTTTATACATAAATATGTGTCCCCGGTAAACCCGCAAGAGAAAAAGCATTTGAGCTAGGGCTGCACGATATATATATATTTTTTTAAAAGACGTGCGATATGAAGTAGTCAAATGAACTCAATCACCTCGTGTTACAATTATTTTGCTGCTTGCTACAAAAGGAAAACTTGCGCGGCTCTCATGTCAGGGGTACTTGAGTGAGTGACAAGCAGGCTTTGCATGCACAGCAAACCACCAATCACAACCATTCTTGATCAGATCACAGCAGGATAACCGAGTTAGCTCAGCTTGTTGCTCTGATAACTTAAGATCCAGAAGTCCGTGACTAAAATCCTTCATCCGGTTAAATATCGTTAAAAAAATACCAATTGTATAGCATTTAAAGTTCAAGAAAGGATGGTTTGCGGAAAAAAAACCTGGTATTTTCTTCAATTCCTGTATTTTTTCATATCGCAAAATATATATCGCAGGGGAAGAAAATATCGCAATGTCAATTTTTTCCAATATCGTGTAGCCCTCATTTGAGCTCCATACTGTTTCAGAAATAATCCTTGATGTGTTTTTGTTTTTTTTAAAGCTAAGGACCGAAAATCAGCCCTTCTCTAATAGGGCTGAAACAGGCATGAGGCATGGCTAGAATGGGTGATCTGTTTGTTATTTTGATCAAAACACATCATAGACATATTTTTATATATATCCGAGACCCATAATATATGCCTAAAAATAGCATGATAGGAAACCTTTAAAGAAAGATGCATGTCATATACAGGCAATAATAGTTCGCTATTTTTGAGAGGTAGAAGAGAGCCTTAAAAATGAATTATAAAAACTTGCGGGAGCGAGCCCAAGTCACGCAGCTCGACTTATTCCCGGCAGTTTTACTGCCGTCTGTCGGGTGGACTGCCTGTTGCGCCAGGGTGTGAGTCCAGACAAGCCCCTGGGATGCGAAGTGTCAGTTCGAGATGACTGAATCGTGACGGCCAATCGCT